AACTCTAGGTAACAGCATATTAATGATTTATACTTTGTCCTATGGAAAACACTGCATAATTTGCTCAGTAGAGAACAGGGGAAAATGAACAAGGGGCAGGATGCAGAAGAATCTGAAAAGAAACAGCTTCTTTACAGCAGCTGTGGCAGATCCCAGTCAAGACTAAAACCTGTTTGGGCTTGGTAATGATAATTAGTTTCTCTTTGACAATGTCTTCAAATAAATGAAAACAACTTTCCGAATGCAGGAAGAAGTGAAGAATTATTACTCTCTAACTCTGTTCCTTCCCCATTTTGTATTTCTTGTTTGGATCTTAAAGTTTTCAGTCCCTGACATCTGGGATTTATCTACAGAAAAGCTCTTCCTTGCCAACTATATTTTTCAGGTTGCAAACACCACAACCACTTTCAGGAGGTGAACGGCGTTTTAAAGACATGTTGCTAAGCATTAAGCAAATAATTTCAATTTAATTTCAGATTTAAACATCTCGACAAGTTTATGAGTCAGGCAGCTATCCTTGGCACTTCACAACTGGCAGATACACAAGAATTTAGCATGCACTTTTCAGAAGCAGTCTTTAGTTTTCTGTACCCAACACTCAGCACCAGCAACCACCTTTAAAATCAACAGTAGCGTGTGGCCTTAACACTTCTGGCAATCTGACCACAGCAAATCGTGGTCACACAATTTATATCAGCTTGCTAAAATCTTGATAGAGGTCTTTATCAAGATAAATCTTGATAAATCTTGATAAATATCATATGATTTATATCAGCTTGCTAAAATGCCATACACACTGCCATGTGTGTTAAGAGTACAGTCTCATATAACCCCAGAGTGGACCCAAACACCAAGTGCCATCAAAATAGCTGGTCTGCTCTCTTTGTACTGGTTGCCTTGTATCACCAGTGCAAGTTCTGATAACAGGAGTCAGTTGGATGAGTTCTCATTGATCCAATGAAGAAATACACTTGCAATTAGATTTTCTTGGAGTAAAAAAACCAAAATAAATCTGGTTCAGATTGTAAAATTGCTATAACCAACACAGAAGGGGAAAATGTACAACTAGAATGTAAAATAAGCACAGAAGACTGAAAGCAGGACTGCTTCTACAGCAGCTGCCTATTCTTTTATCAAAATAAAGCATAAGGCAAAATGATACCATTCACCTGTAGCCCACATAAAGAAAAAACATATTATATATGCTTCAGTATCATGGTTCAGATGGACAGACACACCACAGCTACATTTCAGCTACATCACAGTAACCCATGAACTTGCCTCAGACTCTTAAGGCTCTTCAAAGACAGACAGCCAACACTCAGACCACATAAAAGGCTGCTTCTGAAAACACATTCTGCAAGAAATAGGAAAACAGCACAGATGTAATAAAACTGAGGACCTGCTTCCTCATTCTGTCTGCAATAATTTATTTCTCCATGAGCCTTACAACTTGCATCTTCATCTTTTGACAGGTCAGTATCTCTACATAAAAGGACATAAAAGAAAAAAAAAACCAACATGATGATAAAGCTTACTTGTATGTATCATCTAAACATTTGAGCTCCTGCTGAATTTCCCTTACTGCTTTCCAGTTCTCCAGTTACTTCCCAAGAACTAATTCCCACCCTCCAGTAGTTTCCTGGAGTTTTCTTCCTGCTGCTCCCTGACAATCACCGCACTGGAGGACTGCACCTCCCTGCAATTCCTGGCTTTCCAGGAATTTCCAACACTACTTTCTAGGATTTCCCTCAGTTTTGTAGGAATCCCCCTCTACCCTAAATTCCTCTGGGTCTCCATGAATTCCTTGTGCTGCTTTCTAGGACCACTATGGGTGACTTCCCACCATTTCCAGGGAATCTCATTTCCTATCCATGGTTTTTCCCTTTTCTATTTTTGAATTAATATGATTTGCTTGCATAGCACCAGGAGAAGTACAGTAATTTCCTTTGCTATTTTTTTCCCTGTTATGCTATGTAAGGCCTCTAGCAAGATGTGGGTCTGTGCTTCAGAAACAGTGTAATGAATGTTCATAAAATTATATAATATTGCAAGGTCATTGATAAAGTGCATTTAAGCCTTTCCGAAATTGGCTCTAGTCATTTTTATTATTGCAAAATAATTCATTTCATAATGTATTTTAAGCACATTGTAGATCCCACTAGGGACAGGTAAGTATTATATTGGATCCGTAACAAAAGATGTGAGTCCATTGGCTTATTGGTCTTTACATGAGAGTAGAAATCTCGAACACACAAAACTATTTCTTCAGGTTTCAAGATCACATCCACCAGAATGAAAAAACAAAAGACACAAACAAGACCCCCCCGAAATGCAACCACCAGAGAAAAAGCCCTTAATTCTCTGGGGAAAACAAAAAAGGACCGGAGCTTCTGGTGTATCTACAAGTTCATGAGAACAGCAGAGTCAAAGAACAGACAAACTCATGGGATTTATCTACTATAAAACTTTGAGATCAAATTTGTCATGACCTTCTAATGAATGAGAAGTCTATAGCACACACATACACAGCTGCATCCACTTCTTCCTTGAATGTTTCCTGAAAATCTAAACTGCCGGAGGCAGCCTCCTAAAGGTACCATTAACGGGCAGGTAATTAAACATCACCTTTTTAAAGATTACTTCCATGGTTACTTCATCCCCAGTACACCCAAGTCTAGGTGAGAAATGCAGAACTCCCTATTCAACCGAAACTGTTACTCCAAAATGTGATATTGTTAAAACAGAATGGAACAGGGTGTTCAACAAACTAAAATGTTTTGACTCAAAGTGTCGTACAGCAGATGGAGCTAAAACTATGGTCTATGAATAGCCACCCACACATGAGAACACACAGAGATAATAAATACCCATCATGTATCCCATCAAGTGACTATCTTAAACAACTTTTCTACTGCAAAATGACACACAGAAGTTTGTGAAGTTCACATCAAAGCAGCCCTTCAAGTTTCAAATCAACAAAGATTAAAAAGAAATGTAATCAGCTTGCAATGCTCATGCCAATGTCACATAAAAGTTAAGTTCTTCCCTTGAACAGTATCTACAGTTATATCATTCATGTTCCTCTTGAGAGGAGGTAAAACGACAGGGATGTTTGCCATCTTTACCATACATGTGGGGATTAAGAACGGACGTGCTATTTCACCATACACCAGACAAAGGTGAAAATCAGTTGTTTCAAACAAGATTCCTCCTGGAAGATCACATGTCCATCCATTACCACACTTCCCAAGAAAATTGCGACACTCCTCCCCTTTATCAGAAATAAATGCATTGCAAGAGTTCCACAGGTTCCCCTCCACCTCCTCTGTTCCTCCCTCCCCAACACAATCCACCTGGCTAACCAACCAGACTATACCAACTACATTCAGAAACACTCAGAAGTGAGAATGACTTAATTTAGCAGAGGTGAAAGTTTTTCAAATGGAATCCTCCCAACTCCACAGCAGAGTAAAACATTAATCAGTTTTAGGTAAAGCACTTACCTTCTCTTCCTTCTCCTACACAGAAATAAAGGGCTTGCAGGAATGGGCAATACTGATTCTCCTTTTTTCCCTACTAGCTATGAGGTGACCAAAAAGACCTATATGAACAGGCCAGCAGAGTTCCTAAGGGTTTTTTCAATGAAATACACAAACTCTTTCCCAGTAGCTCACAAGTCCAAGATCATCTAACCTGATGTTGAATCACCTGACTTCTCTGTATGTTCTTGGTAGTCCTGTCTTGTACCTGTTTTTTCAGCTGTTACAGTTTTTCAAATTTAGGTAACATCACCAAAGGAGCATACTATCTTTTACTTCATGTTTTATTTGGAAAAAAAATCCTTCTTGATTACATAAACACAGATAATGTGCTTGAGGCATTATCATTTTAGGCACTAACTTGATTTGCAATCATAATCTGTATGCTCAATTCCCTGCTTGGATATCTTAATAAATAATGAACTGCTAAAGGTGTAAATTCACAATGAGTTCTGAAAACAACTGTCATTTATGCTATATTTAAAGTATGATTAAAGTCAAAATTGAGAAGGTTGTATCCAGGAACTGTTGTCTACTTTTGGCTATTTATTACCATCAGTGAAAAGGGTTCTATCCAAATTTTTGGTTTGGCCTCAGACACTGAAACCTCAAAACTGTTTCCCCTCAACAGAAAGACTAATTTTGTTCTTTTAGGTGGAAATTCTAGTTCAACTTGCTTCCCAAGCAGCCACAATGTTTACTCAGCTAAAGATACAAGTATGAAAATATTTTTCAGATGTTAAGTCAACTCTGGTAAAATGGCTGAATTCCATATTTAAAAGATCTACAGTATCACTCTACCTGGATGAGTTTCTATTGACAATTCCAAAGATTTTCAGAAGTCCTGCGCAAGTAAAAATCTTCCCTAACTGCACACACTATTTCACATCAGTTTAAATTAGTTTCTTGCTACAGCCTTCAAAACATTACTACTTAAATAAGCATCTACATTCAAAACCAGTTTTCAGTTAACCTACCAAAGTCAGTAACATTACAAAACAGACAAAAGAACAATATTTGGGGATTCTCTGGATTAAAATACTGTTTTGTATCTTTGAAGTTCAAATGAGGGTTCTGAGAGAAATTCTGTCTATCTAGGCAGTTACCTGCTACAATAAGATAATTTTTACTTTGACTATACTCAACAGGAAAAGGCCATCATCACCTAATAACCTTTCATCTCATCAAAGAACATGAAGAAAGTATGTCTTCATAAATATAAGCAGTATATGAAATAACTCACCTAAACCAACTGAACTAAACCAAATGTAAAACATATTTTCAAGAAGTCAACCAGATGCTTCTAATGCAATGTATGCATTAGAAATCACAAGTCACAGGCCAGAGCAGCTTTATCACTGATACTCGCCTAACGTTAAAGAATCCAGAAGCTGGCACAAGAGCTTCCCTGACAGTGTACATATGGCAAGTGATACACACATAACAGTACACACAAGATTTATTAAAAGTACAAGCAGATCTTGTTTTTATTAATAACACAGGAGAGATGTGACCAATACGTTGTACTTTAATCCAAAAGCTAAGATATTGAAGGCCCCATTCGTATGGACAAGACATTGCTGGTCACCTCGTTCTCCCCAGCCTCACACATATACACTGAGGGTAGAATTACAAACATTTAAAGAGCGGTAGCGTATCACTTCACGAGGCACCTTCCCATCCTTATCCTGGGTGGGAACAGCTTAAAAGTTCCAGCAGGGCAATATACCTCCAAGAACTCTGTGGAGTATTTTTAGAGGCTCAAACAAAATGCATCTTGTGTCCTTTCAGTTCACAGAGTAGCCCTGAACTAGAATGATTTAGATAGGACAAACTGAGAATTAAGGACTAAGTTTCATAAAGAGATTTCTTGAAGAAAAGTCCATGAAAGACAGGTCTTTGCCCAGACCATTGTTTCACAAATGCCCATACATACAAAATAATGTGGAACCTGGAAGAGACCAAGAGCAGTGTCTGTGTTCAGAAAACTAAAAAAGAAAATGTATGACATCTACAAATCAGCCACATGGAAAAGGTCAAGTGCCTCTCTGTGAGAATCTAAAGCTTGTCATTGATTCCAAAGAACAAGTCACTGTGTCACTGCCACTGTTCGGCATCCAGCACGTACGCTGAGGATCAGCATCAAACAGTTTTGTAAAAGAAATGTCAAAGAAACCATATCCTAAGTGCCAAACCCCAAACTTACTGAAGTAAAGCAAATCTGTGTAACAACACTTTCTGAGAGCACAGTCCCACCAGGAAAATGCTTTTCTTGGGATGAAAATCCTTTTTTAACAGAACATCACAAAAAACCTTTATCCTCAGATAAAGATCTTCCGTTTCTCACGTCTCTGTCATGTTAGCTGTTCAGCAATGATCTTCCACAATTCCTGTAGAAGTGGAAAAAATACATGCAGGTATTTTCTCAGGTCAGTAGATTCAACATGCCCACTTGAAGACAAGTTTTAAGACACGCCTTCCATCTGTAGATAGTATCCATCTGTGGATGGATACCAAGTCCATGTGTATTATTCTAGAACAACCACCAAATTATCTTTGAGACAGAGCATCAGAATTGATTTTTTCACTCTTGTACCAAGATTTTTTAGAATAAAAGATTAGTATTGAATTAAATGATTTGTTTTAAAATAATTTCATTGTTCTGCGTGACCTTCTGCAGTATTCTGATTGATTATCTTGCTCTTTTGCTTAGCCTGTGTTGACAAACGCTTTTGATAATGCTAGTAGAAATACAACTGAAAAAATACTCAATGTAGTGAGGAATCACAGTCTCACAAATGCACTTCTTATTCGCTCACACCCCCTGCTTTCTCAATCTGTTGGACAACAAAGATGAAAAACAGACTATTTGAATAAATTAAGTGAAATAAATTACCATACACTTTGCTATACCAGTCATTAATCAGACTATCACATAGTCTTCACCATGACATCTTGAATTGTGGCAATATACTTCATGCTAAATAAACTTAGGCATTTTAAATATGCATATATTTCAAAGACCAGCAGCCTTCTGCAAAAAGGCTAGGGAATGAGCTTACACATTTAGGTATAATCCAGGTTACATTTATATACTTGTAAAACTTGCTTTTAAGTTTTGCATGCATGTTTTATGCCTGAAGGTATCAGCATTAAGTAAAATAAATCTGTCTCATGAAATAACTGTGGCCCCCATAATCTTACTACATATGCAAGCTGCAGAAGACGGACCAATAGTATACTGACTACAGAACATCGTTTCTTGTAAGAGATGTGCAATCTAGTAAAAGACTTGCAAATTCTTTAAACAGATCTGTTAGACTGTATTGTTCTAGAAATTAGCAAGTTTTAGCTAGCCTGCCCTAAGAGCAGACAACTGGAAAAAAAATAAAGAGAACCCTATGTGCTTGGGAGGTAATTAGATAACTACAAATATTGTATCTGTCATGTTTCTGAACAGAAGCTGACAGCTCATCAACTTCACAGATATTAGAACATTATTTCCTGAACTCTGAACTGGAAAAGGAATTACTAAAACTGTGAAATGAAAGCTCTTCTACAAGCAAAGAAATGAGAAGAGATATTGGTCCCATTTTCTAGTCAATGGTGAAATTGTTTTAAAAAGTAATGGAGACTGTTTCTTAACCTGTGAGGAAGTTACTGCAATCTAAGCCACTGTGCTGCTGGTGATAGAAAAGGGAGTGTTATGTCAATCCACTATAATTATGTAAGCACAAACCAGAATAATTTTAAAACAACAAAAAGCTAACTTGAAATAAATGGAAAGGTAATGTTTATTCACCTGTTCTTACTTCATGTTAAGTAAATACATGAAAACTAACTTGAGATGGTTAGCCCAACACATCACCGTATTTTAACGAATGTCACTTACCAACTGCTCCATTCGTTCATAAACAAGAAACTGGCAGAAATCAAGCTTAACGGGCTCCACAACATATTTAATTTTTCTGTCTTGGAGGCTCTCCAAATCATTTAGAGTATTTCTAAAATGACTGTAGGCTTCACATGTAACATCCATATGTCTTAAAGTGAAGTTCAGCCTGGCAAGAGAATATTTGATTTAAGATGTCTCTCCTATACTGGCATCTTAAGTAGCTAAGTAACTTCAAGTAATGGAAAATGTGGGTCTTCTCCGTGTAATTAACTAACTTTGATAGCCCAAAAAAGTAACTCCCCTGCTATTCCTGAAAAGCAGGCAAGACTTGGGTTAGCATCAATATGCAGTAACTCTTGGATGAATTTTTCCATTGATTTTAAGGCACCCTGCCACAAGAGAATCATTAGCTTGGCTTCCTGGACAAACACTTGGCAACAAGTCTTATGAATAGATGTTGCTTACTTATCTCGAGAGATTTAAGCGAGCCTTTTTACATGTTAGTTTATGAATGGATTGCAAGACATGACTACTTAAAAACATTCAACAATTCCTTGAAAGAAAACATAAGAGAAATTGTTACAAAGGTACTCAAGCTGGGAAACATACACCGTAATTCTAAGCCCCTTCATTCCACTCTGTGACCTCAAAAATAGATAGCAAATGTTGTCAGGCATTACAGAAACACCAGTAATGCCACCGATTTATCCTTGTTTGCTCAGAGGTTGTCACATACAAGACAAAGGTAGGGCAACAAAAGCTGAACTCTTGTGGAAGTCAAATTCTGAACTGCTAAAAATCAAGCATGTATAAACCCAAATACCTGTCCTGAGCATATACTGCTGCCTGTAGTCATCTAATATAGTGAAAATCAGAAGTTGACCTTCAATCAAATCAGATGTTTCTTCCAAATAAAGCACAAAAAGTTTTCAGTGCTTTTTATTTTAAGTTCTCCATGATACTTACCTCTTTTCTAAAGCTAGGTAAACCGTGCAAGAATTTCTCAAGTTGTGTGTGATTCTATACAGCGTTCTGAACAAGGCATCTGTCAGGTCATCATCATAGAACACTGCAAAAAAAAATTAAGAGCATAAAATATGTTTAAGTGTATTATTTACTTAAGTCTCAGGTATGAAAAAACAACAAGCCTTTTGTGGTTTAAGCCCAGCTGGTAACTCAGAGCCACGCAGACACTTGCTCACTCCCTGCCATTCTTCCTCCCCCTGCTCCCAGACGGATGGGGAGGAGAATCGAAAGAATGTAACTCCCATGGGTTGAGATAAGAACAGTCCAGTAACTAAGGAATAACACAAAACCACTACTGCTACCACCAATAATAATAATGATAAGGGAAATAACAAGGGGAGAGAATACAACCGCTCACCACCCGCCAACCAATACCCAGCCCAACCGAGCAGTGATCTAGCCCTTCTGGGTAACTCCCCAAGTTTATACACTGGGCATGTCATGCTGTGGTATGGAATGCCCCTTTGGTTAGTGTGGGTCAGGTGTCCTGTCTCTGCTTCCTCCTAGCTTCCCGTGCCCCTCCTCACTGGCAAAGCATAAGACTGAAAAGTCCTTGATCGGGGTAAACATTACTTAGCAACAACTAAAACACTGGTGTAAGGAGTATTGTTCTCAGACTAAAGTTGAAAATGCAGCACTGCACTGGCTACTACAAAGGAGAAAAATGACTATTACAGCTGCACCCAGGACAAAGCCTTAGTTCGATTATTCTGATGAAACAAGTCACTATTTTAACTAAATCCAAAAGCAAATTTTTAATGTGTACAACTGATCTTCTAATAGTATCCACGGCTACTACTTATGTCAGACTTTCTTTAAGATTTCTCTCATCAATGGGAATCACTTTTGTCAGACAGCTTACTAAACGTTAAGATTTCTCTGAGCCTGGAAACACTGCAAAGCTAAAAAACCCAGGATATCACAATGTATAGGGCCTTGTTTCTTACAACAAGGGCAGTAACTAATATACCACTATAACCTTATCTCCTTGGAAAGCAATCGTGCAACACCTTTCAATATCATAACTAAAACCAGTGCTCCTTTATTTATATACGATAACAACAATGGTTTTCCTATAGAGATAAGCTAGCCTGCCATTTTTCAGTCTCTCCATTCAGCAACAAAAACAGCAGAAAAAAAAAGACAGAGATATTCAAAGGCACAGACTCTGTGGGCAAGTGCAGCACTGGAAACACTTTTTCACATTACAGACTATATTAGTCTAACCACCTATTTATCAGAGGCTATCTGATGCAAGACAAAGGTAGCATGACAAAACTCTTCATCACTTGCTTGTGCTTATGTTGAGTAATTTATTTAGTCACAAATAATTACCATAGCAAAGGAAAGCAAAAGCTAATAGTTTTCAACATCTCTTCTATTTCCAATTCAGAATGTAAATACAACTGTTTAAAAAAAAAATAAATACAGGCAGGAACACTTAAGGCAACTCTTTGACAAATTAGGTAAGCATCTGACCTACTGGATTTAAAAGCAAACTAGGTATGTTTAAGTTGTTACTCATAATGCTCAAGTGTTTTGACTTAAAAGCCTGCAGATTATATTATCCTACCATCAGCTGCTATTATCACAGTACAGTGGTCATGCAGATCAGCAATCTCTTCTTCAGACCAGCTGTAAGGAGCTTCACGATCTGTAACAAAGAATATAGCTTTGGTGTGCATGACTAAACATCTAAAATGATTGACAGCTGGAAAACCAAAACTTCTTAACTCCTATGATCATCTGCTACTCCATGAATGGTGCATGCCACTGAAGGTAAATCAGACCCTCCTTCTATTCACTCTTTGAACTTCCCTGCAGTCCTTTGCTTTCTCTGCAAGGCTAACTGGCAAGAGCAGGTCTTTTTTCACATTAGAATTTACAACCAATTACTACCCTGTAGAGAGATCACAGATTTAACTAGATTAAAATAAATACTCCCTTAAATAAAAGAACAAATGTATCTGTGTAAGTCTTGATTAAGCTTCCTACTTCATCATGCTTTTTAAAATTTAGACTTTGTAAAATATAGACACTTTCTCTGAAAGCCAAAAAAACCTCAAACCTTTTCAACTGACAGTATCAAATATTTTCATTAACCAGAATTTGAGGTCCAAGAGAGGCTTTTGAATGTCTAAAGGATGTTTCCACTTGCTTAAACAGTTGTTCTATTTTTTAAAAGCATTATATCAAATCCAACTGATGATATAAAAATCTACAAAGTAGGCTTCATGTAACCTAGTGCTACAATTTTGTGTTGTCCTTGTGATCACTAGAAAGACAGTTTTAATAATCTGATTTATTATCATTAATTGCACTTTACATTTTACTTGTCAGTTGCCTTTATTTTGGTAAAACTAGCAGAATACATTCCCTTGGATAATATTTTATATATAACACATTCACCACTTCATTTGAATGAATATTTATATATTTTCAAGTCATACCCTCCGTGCCACCTTTTACAGTTCTGTATTCATACAGTAACAAGCCACAAAATACCATCACACGAAAATCTGGATTACTGAACTCAAGTCCATGTCATCATGCCTGGATTCCATTATCCCGTAATAAAATAGACACCTTGTTTGCACCTCTGGATTTTGACCTAAGTAGAGATCAGCCACCACTTGTCTATTCTCAACCTACCAGTAAACCCTTCCTTACTCATTCACATAGCAATGATGCACCCAAAGACAACTGTGTACTTTCAACTACTTTCCAGGAACATATGTGCTGGAGGACTTCATAAATGGAATAATCTTTTCTTGATGGCTCTAAGGGAAAAAAAAAAACAAACAACCCTATCTGAAAGGACCCATTAGAGCCACCTACCAGTGCAGAATTCATCTTTCAGCCAGTCCAGTTCTTTCACTTTAACTTCCCCTCCTGAGGATGAAGAAAGATCACATAAGTCACAAATGGCATTCAGACAGTACCTAGGCAGAGTCAAAACCTCTACTGAAACAAGAGAGAAAGATTTATTATGAGACAAGTAAAGTTGAACAACAAATAATTTACTGTACAAAACCAGTTACCCACTCATACCAGAATAGAATGAACTTAAGGGTCAGAAAGACAACCTATGTTCTGTTTTACATGTCTCATCTGCAAAGTACTTGTCCTTTCCAGAGCTTGACTTCTGTCATTTACACTGTTTATGTGACCCTTGACCCCTGGATATCCATGATCCTCCCAAGTACCTCAGTGAAATTCACACACTGACTGTGTAGGAACTGGAGCTGGACTTCAATAATGACCAGAGAAAGAGTAGGTATTTTGCTTTTCTCAAAAGGAAGCTGTTCCATTATGAACTACATACAGATATTTTGCATCTTCCTTTTTAAATGAGTCACTGTGCTGTTTAATCCCAAAGTAGTTCATACACAGGCAACTGCACAAGCACTGACTGCATAGCACTTACTTCCTGGCTCCATCAGGTGTTTGTTTAATGTAACATTTTGCTCACACATGGCCAGAAGATCTTCACCAACATCTGAAAAAAAGTGATAATAGTAAAAAAAAAAAAAAAAAAGAATATTTTGCATGGGCTGTGCATGCCCCTGACCCTTCAGACTAATACTTTTGTAAGTTTTTCTCTAGCTGACTAGATTAAGGAAAGTTCAGAGCAACTCTATCCACTGACCATTGCTTCACTAGTATACTTCTTGCTTCTAGCTTTCAGTACTACCTCTGAGCCACTCCTGAAGAAAGAATTTAAATCCCTATATTGCCTGTTTTAACCTAGGCACACTACTTGAGTTCACAGCAATGTATCTTGCTTTTAAACTCTTGCACTTGATAGTAGTACTGCTTTTTCAACCTATTGGGAAAGTTCTTGTTATAAACAACACAACCTTATATATATTAATAAAAAAATACTAACTAAAACTGAACAGATGAAGATGGGAATGTCAAGATGAAAGCACTGCTTCATGAATTTTCACAAAAATATTTAACTGAAACTGCCTTACCTGTGCAATAAACTCTCTTGGCAACTGTTCCCATAATAATGCTTGTAATTCCAGTGCCACCTCCAAGCTCTAACACTGAGCAACACCTGAACGTGTCCCGTTTAAACAGAATGTAATCAGCAAGAAGAAAGGCTGCACGCCAGACCTGTGGATAAGAGAAGCAGTGAAAACTGAGTAAATTGTGAAGCACAATTCATGAACAACAAGATACTACAAGGCAGGATACATACTTGTTTACCAACGTCTTCTAAGGGAGTTGCCATAGTATGTTCTATGAAAATGAAAGTAGAGCAGAAATAATTACCTTAAAGTGTTGTTCAAATCAAGTTCCATAGTAGCAAATTTGAAAATCAAGTCGTGCTTCCCCTTCAAATACAGAACTATACACTCTTCATTCTATATAGTAATGCTAGACAATGCCCAAACCCCGACTCTAACTAAGCAGCATGAGTTTTCCATAGTATACTGTTGCCCAAATCACTTCTGGACAAAAATGGTAAATTTAAAAAATATTTAAAATATCCCAGTATTAAGTTTGGTTTATTATCTCCTGTCACTTCATACCTGCTGCTCCAGTTCTAAAGAAAACCTATTTTCCTTTTGTTTTATGCTAATATATTTATTCCATTTCTCCTTGACTGTAAGCCTATTTACCTATTTTAACAACATCACTGCGAGTGCATTCTTCTTCATCTTCAAAAGCATCTTCTTTCCCTTTCATCAGAATGACAGGATATACTCTATCCCTCAAAAGATCCTCTGCTTCTAAATCAGAGGCACTTCGAGGTCTTCTGACTACTTCCAAGTCTCCGTCCTTATCTAGCAGAGCTTCTACTCCTTCACCATTTATAAATTCTCTTTCCTTTTTTAGATTATTCTTATCCTTGTCACACAGTTCATCTCCACTCTGGTACTGGAGTTCTCTTTCTGTTGTAGCTTCTCTCACATGTTTCTCAGATGACAAATCTTCTATGTTCCACAGGAGTTTGAAATACGACAGGAATACTGTAAAAACACAGGAGGGAAAAAAGAAGTTAAACATCAGGTAAGAACAGAATCTATGTGCAACTTCAACGTGTTAAATTTTGTTGCCTTTGACATATCAAAAATCTAGACTATAAAAAATTATACAGATAATTTGAAATAAAGTTTACTTTGCTACAAAGAAATATTTCAGTTATTTAGTTCTGACAGTAGAAATAGTGAAGCACTTTCACAGTCTACTGGCTGACTTAGCATCTACATAGTCACAATGCGCACTTTCATCTGATTTAATAACATTTTAACAATTGTCAGAAAGGACAGTTTCCTCCATCTTCCAACAGATTTTCTTTTGAGACAAGTTCAAACCAAGTTGAAAGAATTAACACAAGTTAGAATTTGTTTCTTTTGGTTCAGTTGTAATTCTTATCCTATCAGAAACACACACGTTCTAGTGAAAAAAGCAAGTAACTTTTTTTATTTTTTTTTTTTACTAAGTTTAGGATTTCAAGCAACTTCAAGCCTTGAAATTGGCTTACTGTGAGTATGAGGGGGCAGAAATAAGATCACAGGAGACAGCATGCCAAAGCCAGGCATGTGTTTTTGGGGGGAGTCTTGAAACTTAATCTTTGAGATAAAAGTAGTAAGGCCACTGTTGTCTATAAACCAATTCACTACAAACATTTTGCAACCATTATCCAGTGACATGAACATCTACTAAAACTTCTAAGTTATCCACAATGGATCTTGCAATTTTAAATATAGGAATCTGTATTGTTTGGATACAACAGATGAGGAAGACATCTGTCCTAACATCTCCAGTGGATGTCAGCTCTACAGCAGTGCTTACGCACTATGCTTACACAATGTGCTTGACTAAATGGGCCAGTCATGGAACACAGATCATGGAATTTGATTCAACTGTGGTATAAAAATCAGTGTTTGTAAGCATCTTAGGCTGGATACTATTATTCCAAAATCACACAGAATGTGTTGAGACTTGAGAAAAAGATAGCCAAGAATATGACTAGTGAAAAAGGCAGCAGGATTCTAAGAAGAATATAATAGAATTATGCTCATTCACATCAAAAGGGAAGAGAGAAAGTGATTGCCACGATTGCTTTCAACAATTTCACTATTTATGGAGTTCTATTCCAGTTTCTTTACAAAGCTGGTCTACAACTGAGAGTTGTTCTTCTCTAGAGAGACCACTGTCAGCTAGATCGAATAAAATCTTCACTACTTATCATAGCATAAGAAATTTTTTAAGTCATCTACTGTTTGCATGACAAGAAGATTAAACTGACTTTTATTTAACAAATTAGAGGATGCCATCAATGAATGAAATGCTTTTCTTTTCCAAGTCCATTCTGACCCTCTGCATGTTCTATGGTATTTCAAAAGGTTTAAGTAAAACTGACCCAAAGCAGCAGTGCCTAAATCCCCACGAGGTTCCCTAAAAACCAGTAAAGTGACAGAAGTAGATTGCCATCATAAGTGTTAAGAGTAAAGGCTGTCATACTACAACTGAATCCTTGTCTTAATAAAGGAATTTCCCAGACCATTTCATTCTATTGAAAGGTTCTTTGCATCAAGCAAAATCACAGCAAACAAATGTCGAAGAGCATGAAGCCATGCCACAGCATTCATTCCCTGGTTTTGACCTGATCAGGGTCAGAATTATTATCCACTTGTCAAACCTACTTTTATCATTTTTTACATTGTCATATAGTAGAGCAGCTGCAAAAGTTATTATTTTTATGTCACAACTGAGTTTGAAAAAAACAACACTTCTGTCACAGCAGGAGCACTGCTTTTTTACAGAACATTTTACCAGCAGCTTCAAGGCCAGCTTTCTTGACAACTTTATAGAAACCTACAAGTGGGCAATCAGTCAGATGAATTTGCCAGTTCAGTTCCACTACAGCCTTGACTCTTCACATTGTTGTCAGTTAAAACCATTGCTATTCTGAGCTTTCTTGTTGCCTTTTTTTTTTTTTAACAAAAAAACAAAACAAAGCCCAAACAAATCTGTTAGGTTCCTCTGGAATAGTTTGTAAAACATCACATAAAGATTTTATTAAAATTCATAAATTAAGTTCAAAATAAAAATTATCAGTAATTAAGTTATGCTATTTAAAACATGACTTCTCACTTTTTATTTGTACACAAGAAACATGCCAACTTTTTAAAAGAAATCCCACAGTGCTATATTGAGATTATAGCTAAATAAATAAATAAGTAAATAAAATTAAACCTGCAAGCAAGTTAATTTGGTTACTTCTTCTCAGAAAGTAATCTACAATTTCTTTTTTTAAGATGGGTTGTCTACAAATTCTACATTAATAGCTTTCATTTCTGTAGTTACTTTAATGAGGAGAACCCAGCTAGACCTCTCCCTGAAGACTGTGTAGGAAGTAATTCTGCTTCTAACTGGAATAAAACATGTAATGATTAATACCAGCTATTCAAAAGAGAATTCAGACATTACAAAGATATGAACAGACTTCAGATACATCTCCATACGTCTAAACATACATTACCTGGTTGTCCCACTGCATTCAATCGTACCATGAGATGTCTTTTATTTGGACAGTGTAAGTGAACATCAGAAAGTACAGTGTCACTTTTAAATGTGGGGCTATCCATCTCCTCTGTTACATCCAGCATGATGTGCTGGTGAGAGGCACATCTACAGTACCCAAAGTCCCCTGTGAAGTGGTGACACGAAGTGATTCGATACTCTTCTGTTATCAGGCATCAAGTAAGTTTTGCTCAGCAACATGACCTCATGACGGTTTCTGAAAAAGACCTCAGGGATGATGTGATCATGCAAGCTCCACCATGCTCCAGTAACACAGCAAGTTGGGCATCAGGATATTCAACCTAAAACCAAACACAGCTTTTAGTAACATCCTGATACTGAACACTGCTCCAGCAATATTTTAGAAGATAAAAATCAGATTACACTGTCCAATAAAGTTGCAATGCTCCAATGCTATTACAATGGTCCAAAGGATCACCAGACACCTAATTGCTAGTAATTCCGTGGCAGAGACTGCCTGTTTTAGGAAGAGCTACTTATTAGCTTATCTTAAAAATAACCCCCTTGAAAAAAACAGATGTTACCATGAATGCACAGACTTACAGTGCTAAGTCAAAGGTCTTCAAAGGAACATAAGACCTGCATGTTCAACTTCACCATTTTAAGGGATTTTGTCCTTCATAGAAGTCTCCGAATTTCCCCAGAAATGGACAAAAGTACCGAACACACTACCACAGATTTATCATAGATCCCTCAAGGAACTAACCTGTGGTGAAAGGAGTCTTTTCCTGCACAAAATTCAGGTCATTTTATATGTCTCCACTAATTGGGCACTTAATGTCTCCCATCTTTGACACTCTTTATTCTTCCAGAAAACAACAAAAAGGAATCATCCTCATTACCCAATATTCAAGGCTGAATTGTCTCCTTCTCCTCAGGCACAAACAAATGAATTACCTCTTATGAACAAAGAATAAAGAGGACATTTATTTCCTTATGCTCTAAAAACTTGGCATTTTGTGAAGGGTACTTTAAACGCTGATGAACCATTGATCTGAAAACAGAATCTGTCTTTCAAAACTGTGATGACAAGCTTAGGTCACCCACAGAAATCATCAAGCATTATACGAATGATTTAGCTAAAGTCATTCAGGCCTCCCAGCTATGAGCACCCCTAATATTCCTTATGTAAAAATCATTGATGCCGTGTCCTTTGTTGGCATTAGTATCTTCGAAAACTCAGCTAATTTTCTATTATCTGCTTGTGCTTGAGCAAGATTGTATAAACAGGCATAAATAGGCTTAAAATGCTTCAAGTTACACAGACTGCCTCCGTAACTTCAGTAAGGAAGTTGTACTAACTTTTGTAACACCTAACCCAGCCCCCAAAGCTGCCCTTTGCCAGCGGAAACCTGTGCACGAGACACATCCGAGCCTGATGCAGAGCAACGCGGCAGCGTCTCACCACCCGCTGTGCCCGCACGGCACTGGCTCCTGCTCCCCCGGGCGGCAGGCCGCAACCTCTGGCCCCTCCCGGCCGTGCCGCGGGGCGGAGGAGCGGCTCCCGCGGGAAGGGGGCCGGCTGCGGAACGAGCGGCTCCCCCCAGCCGGCACCGAGGGGGACCCCGCCTCTCTCGCCCGCAGCCGCACCTGCCGCCTCAGGCCGCCTCCCGCCGCCATTGCAGAGGCGACGGCTCCTTCCGGCGCGCGGCTGACGCGAGGCTCGGAGGAAGGAGGGGCGGCCGCCGCGGCGTGTGGGCTCTGCGGAGGGTGCCGGGCCCTGTCCTGTGCCGCCAGGCTCGGGGCGCCTCCCGCGGAAGCCACCGCAGGTCCCGGGCCGCACGCCTGGGGCTGGTAGCCGCGCTGTGCTGAGCCGCCGCTCGATTGCCCGTTCCACAGCAGCCGTCCCACGGGCTCTCTTGCATGTACGAGTCACCCCGCACTAACCCCTACGAAAAAGGCACCTCGGGAGTCGGTAAACGGGGACACCAGCAGCCACGTTTAGTGTTGCCACTAAGGCCTTCACAGCAGTTACCTAAAGCTTGAACCCACGTTTCCTGCCCCCGTTCTTGTATTACTTGGTTTCAGCGTTACTTACTCTCTCTCCATCTATGTGCAATTCCATGCCAAACCTCCGAACAGCTTAAAATCAAACCCCCAAATATCTTTATGCAGACCGGCGGGCACTTCTTCCTTAGCCCAAACAACGCCAGAGGTTTACTACCACCATTAGAGTAGATGAAGCGATAGCAGTATCTGCTTGCCCATCTGAGAAACAGGGATTTTGGCTGCTCAGTTCCGCAGTTCTGTGCAAAATCACAGACACAAACTCCATCTGTATTCTAGTTCATCCTCTGCAAGTCCGCAAGGGCTGCTGAAGTTGTTAATACCTTTCACCAGAAGGATCCAGTTCAAAAGCGGCATTTACAAGCTAATGAGTTGTTATACAATACTAATGTCAATTGCTACAGATGATCCTTGTATTTTCTTGAGTGAATGCTTGTGGAGAAGGAAGAATTAAAGAATTAACTTTGAGGAAAAAAAACCCACTTGGAATGTAATGCATTGTCTGTATTTCTAGATGCCGGTTTCTCATCATCTGCATCCTTCTATAAAGGCTAAGAATTATGAACAGAATGAAGTAATCTTTCCCTATTTTTACAGTCTGGCATGTTGAGTGGTAATGAAGTGGAAAACACAGTGAACCGTTCAGATCTCTCATTGGAGTTTCTGTGGGGAGTGTTGTTGGATGAACATCTGATAAAAATGCTTTGGAGATTTGTTTCCCTTTTATCTGGCTCCTGTGCAAGAGCAGAATATTATTTTATTTCCCCTGGTGATATGCTGCCACATAAATTATTACTGCACTCTCTCTGCTGGCTTATTCCCCATTGCTATAAAGTGCTAACAATATGCAGACAAAGCAGATTATATTTGTCACAAAATCTTACCAGTTTGTAGCAAGATGATTACTGGTATGTAGGTTTAAGTATTACTAGAGGGGTAGCTAGAAAGCCAGGTGTGTCACGACACTGCACAGGATCTTCTCATCACAAAGGTGCATTATATGAGAAATGAGGTTGCTATCATTTCTTTTCTAAAAAATGCAGCTACCTTGTTTCACATACATATAATCATGAGGCAAAGCAAAACTATCTTGTGGCTGCAGAAGGTCTCAATGGAGCCAGTGTGGCTGCAGGCATTATAACATGGGTGATAATAAGAGTTGCTCAGCGTCAACCTAGCCCAGGAGATGCAGTTTCTGTGATGCACGCAAGAGGGCTTCGGCAGAAAATTCCTGAGATCTACCTCTTTTTAAAAGACTTTAGGATGCACCTCAGTTACATTTCCTATGTTCCTCACAGCCATGTGAGGAATCGGCTTACAGAAAGTATCCAAGAGTATCCCTTAGTCCCATCACACCAAGAATTAGGGGACTTAAAGAAATGGTTGTTCCCCTTGTGATTTTTGCCTAATCCTGTCGTGGCCCAATGGACATTGCTAGGATAATTCCTTAGAGTGCCTTCAAAATGCCAGCACTGCTGCAGGAGGCTCAGAGAAGAAAAGTATACGGACAATCCTGAAAAATAGGTATCTCGGGGAAAATCTGTTTCCTGAGGAACTGATAAGAGAATGGAGCTGATTCTAAGCAGACAGGAATAACCAGGTGCATTAATACACCACTACATATTTGATCTTGTACTGTGCAATAGCATATTCCTGACAGCTCATGATATCATTCCAGTACTGTCTCTTTGCTTGTCTTCTTTTCTTTCATAGTATGTCTACCAGACAGAAGCACATTCTGTGTTTCGATTAGGTCAGGAAAACCAACAAAATAAAACAACAAAACAAGCTGAAGGCTGTCAGGAAGAAAAAAACTATCAGCCCTCATCATTCCAATCCTACTGTACTGGGACTGTTGAAAGGAGATGTGCTGAACTAGTTGTCATTTCATCTTGTTTGCTGGTATGCTGGCATGCACAGTACTTGGGGCGAGTTCCTTAAGCCATCAAGCAACAGGGAGAAATGTCAGGCAACAACTGAATAAAAGGACTACTGGTCTAAATGATGGATGATGAAGATGGATGAAGAATTTTGCTTTGCTCTTGAAGCATGTATGACACATCAGTGTTGGTCACCAGGTTGAAAATTCCTAAATAACTGCTTGAAGTGGAAAAGTACACGAGAAGAATAGCTGAAAAATGATTAAAAAGGGCAACTGCAGCTGTCAGCTTTTTTGCCTCCACATTTCCTGAATATCCATTTCTCCTTCCCAGGGGAAGCTAGTAATCATACTGCCTCACCAGCAAGAAAACTGAATTACAAAACACATTAGCAGCACAGAGCTAAAATCCACAGTGATTTCTTTTTCATTAACTATTTTGTGGTTGTTTATCAGATACATTCACACTTTTTACTACAGCATTTTACTCCCTGGGCTTATTCAGAAACATAATTTGCATGCCTTTGACATCACCCCATCATGACTTCTCATGTCCAACACAAGCTGATTTGCACAGGATTTTTTCTGAGACACACATGTATGTAATGTCTCAGGTGATTCTCAGAACAATGTCAACCCAGTGACTGTGATTGTAAGCACCAAAAATACCTCTCTTTAGTCAGGGGAAAAGGAGCAAAATTCAGGTAAATGAAAAGCCTTCCTTCACTCCCAAGCACATCAAATCCACAAAATACAAAAGCCATACTGATTCTTTAGCAGCAATCATCAATTGTCTTTTGAATTGGTGTCTCTATGCTAGATTACAGTGAGGAACAGCAGAAAAGTATTATTATATTTATGTGCTCCATACCAAATGCTCTATTAGCAAAAGACTTTAACGTTAATCAATACTTCAGAAATAAGAGAAAGCTCCATCCATCCATTCTACTCATCACTATTACTTTTTCAAGCATGTCAGCCTAAGGAGGCAGTGAATCAGCCTTAGGAATTTCTCAGCCTTAGACCTGTACTGTATGAAAAAGAGGAAGGCAAAGACTTTAATTTACCTCACATACCAGACAGCTTTACAGAGGCTTAACTGTTTGTTTTAAATGATTAATTGGTCCAGTTTCATCCACTGAGTGAGTCCTAAGGAGTCTGTGTTAGGGATAAACTAAGCCTATTCAAGACAGAGTAATAATTGCATAGTACAGCAGTTTCTTATGGGCGGTTCACATCATCATCAGAGGTCATTTAATTTCAATGCAGTTTCTCATTAGACCTGCCCTTCTGCCATCCTGTACTTTTCACCTTCCTCTCATTGCATCTCCTCTGTATTTTCTTGCCCGTACCATGGCAGACATCCTCTTTTGAGCTAGGTGGGCTAGCCAAAAAATGCTACTGCTTCTGTTACTTAATACAGACCTGTGTCATGTCTACTGGTATTAGGACTGTTAAGTGTCCTGTAATTCCCTTGAAACAAAGTCATACAAACGAGGTCACCTTTATCATCTGCTTCAAGTGAGCAGTATTTCACTTATGCTGTAACAAATCATAGCTGTGCAATGGAAATGAGACACTTTTATTAAACTAAGCACTTCAGCATCAAACTGACCTTGATGCTATGAAAAGTTTTTGTATCACAAAATTTTGTATCACCTCATTCATTTCTTCTCTGATCTGTTCCCGAGGCAGTCTTTAACATAACCTTTGTTCATGGTTTGGGGATTCAGATCAGGCTATTCTCTATGACTCCTACAATTCTCTTCCATATACTGAGCACTTGGGGCCTTATTATCTTAAAAAAAAAAAAAGCCTGGATAAATAATGTCTCAATAATGACCCTGAAGGTAGGTTTCATTATTGCTACATGTCTATTTTTCCCTGCTACATTATGCACCACTAGATCTGTGGAAGAAGCAGGAAAATGCAGCCTCTTGGAAAACAAATGGATGCGCTCAGCTGGGAATCACATAGGCTGGACAATGTCAACAGAAAAACACATGTAGGGAACTTCCTGCCTTGGTATGGATGGAGAACAGAGCCTGACTGGCTGTCAGAGCTGATCAGGAGGCTCACATAGGGACCTGGAAGAGCCTGTGCCAGAGGCCACTTCCAGACTGCACGGTGAAGCAAAAGGAAAAGAACCACCCTCTGAAAGTCTTAGAGGACAAGATGAAAAAAAAAAAAAAAAAAAAAAAGTCCCATATTTTAACAGTATTCATTTATTTTAAAAGCTGTGTGCTCCTTTTTTCTTTTCTTTTTTTTTTTTTCTTGATAGGTTCTAGAGACCAAAGTTAATGCATCCTGCAAGGCAGGGTGCTGAGACACTAAGGGGGAACTTCTCTCAAACTTTTTTTTTCCAGATACTTCTTCAGAAGTCAAAAATTGGTTAGCCCTTCCCTGTTTTTTCTGCACTGCCTTTCTCTTGTGCCCTCTTTTCCCTAGTCTTTCTGATCAGTATTTGTTCCTTTCAGCCTGTCACTTTCAGTGTTTGAGGTTATCTGCATCTATTCTGCCTGCTCAATACACTCTTATTAACTATACATCTTTTTCTGCTTGACACACAACATAAATACTTGCTTGACGAAGATTAAGTAACACAAACTTTCTTTTTGTTTTGTGTTTCCTACAGCAACTTCCAGTAAATCAAATTATGCTTCTCAGAACTTTTTGCAGTTCTATGTATGTAGCCAAGTCAGAATTCAAACAAGGCTCTGTAAATCCATTTCCAGAGTGTGCAGCTTTCAAGAGAAGAGAAACGAGA